AGACTTTTGAAAAATTAATTTTAATTTTTTGTTTTGCCAAGAAGATGCCCCCCCCCTTTAAATAGGGGCTCTGGGCTTAAGCACAGCTAAGCACAAGGGTAAATCCGGTACTGGTGACATGTATGTATCGGAAAAAATAAATACCAAGCCCACTGGATGAACCTTCTGAAAACAATATCCTTTGAAGATGTGTTGGCTAGTGAAGAAGTTACAGTACTATTGCTTTCACTAATTTCAGAATTTGCTTTGGTAACGCTGATTAATAGAATATGCCAAAATAATTTTGAATGAATAAACAGAATAGTCACTTTATTTTGCGTCATTTAGCGACAATGCTGGATAATTTCTGATAACCCCTACCATTTTGCAATCCTTAGAAAATGAATAATTACAGGTTTTATGACCAATTTTTATGGCATTTTTTTGGCCGGACGCCCAATGTGCTTTCCAACAATCATTTCAGTAATTCACGACCAACAGTTACCAAGCATTGTGGATGGCTTGCACTTAGTGTAAACGAAATCACTTCTATTTTGTAATCGAAAGGCCGAAAGTCAATGTCACTTTGACTGAAATAATAATAATAAATGTCATCCGCACAATAACAATAATTTTACGAGACATGCCTTGTTTCCTCTCAATAGTCACCAAGTAGCAGAAAGAAGCAAAACTAACAAGTTTTGTAAAACTTAATAAAGAATTTAAGTTTCAAATTTAAAAGTGAAAATGTGAGAGGAAATTACAATATTATGACGTGAATTAAGAATAATCCTGACAAAGATTTATGGCAGTCCTAAATGAGAGAAAAGTTCTGCATAAACTTAAAAACCGGATATGTACTGGTCCGCCGAGAATCGTGACGTTGTCAAGATGACGTCATCCAGAACTCCTTCGAATAATTCTCAACATTTTCCGGATGATATACTCCAAAATAATGTGCACGTTCGATTTCCAATGAACAGTCTGAACGAATGTTTTTCTTCTCAAATACTATGTACAACATAAAACATGTCTTACAACCGGAACACAAGAAATTAGACTAACTCCAAAACTGGAATAAATCTTATTGCTTAGTTCTCTCTTTATATGCACCTAATATTACGACTGTTATTTCACAATACACCCCACGTAACAGATCACACTACCCATTTTGAGTCGAACTTGCCTATTTTATGTGACCTAGCCTAACTAATGAGAAGTTACTGAATTCTTCTAGAAAGATCGAAACCCCATCAGCTAATTAAACATTTACCCAAAGGAGCCATTAAATCTTATTAATAATAATTGTCAACACATAATTAAGCGTATATAAATCCTATGCAATATTATACTGTTAACCCACTCAGATTACGTTGGCAAAAGTTAAGATATTCTGTACAATTTAAAACTATGAATAAAAATTATAAATTTTAGATATAATTATTTACCAGGAGCTGCAAAAAATATAGATACATATAACAGCTTCAATAAAAGTTTTGTGAACAGCTTGTACTCGATGCGGGGAAGAAGACTATTGTTTTGGGGTCAGAGATCAAGGCCACTGACTGTAAGAAGAAAGGCTGTTACCTCACAATAACTTTAGTTTTACATCACATACTTGACCCAAACTAATGGATGACTTGTATTTAAGGTAAAGAATAAGCCTGTCGATTTTGCGATAGTGGTTAAAGGTCAAGGTTAACCTAATGAAATGAAGATAAAGTACTGCGCATAAAATTTCAGTAATGTACTTAGATGACCTATAAATAAGAGACAGGTATGTACTGTTCATAGTCCTTTTATTCGCATATTGATCTCAAGGCGTACATACCACTGAGTCATGAAATATGCTACCAAATTAACAGGAGTTCCACCCCTTTGCAATTAATTTCTGCTGCGGTTGTGATAAAGACCCAATACATAACCTTAGTTCGCTCATTAAGGATGTTTACCTATTTCTCCATTGGAGACCTCTACAATTACAGTCAACACAACTGATTATACCCGGGAAAACATTGACTCTATCAAGAAAAGAGTGTACAGCTACTTAGTACATCGTTTCTAAAATAATTCCCTGACCATCTCTCTCTCTCTCTCTCTCTCTCTCTCTCTCTCTCTCTCTCTCTCTCTCTCTCTCTCTCTCTCTCTCTCTCTCTCTCTCTCTCTCTCTCTCTCTCTCTCTCTCTCGTGATTATTGAGTTTTATGTACTACTCATTTTGGTCATTACGCCATTGTTTTTGACTGACTTTACGACTACAAATGATAATCAGTAGATCGAGACAGTGTGGTTAATTCTAATTGATCGTAGTACCTGTATTACATTAAGGTAATTGTTGACAGGTAAAATTATTTAATAAATGGCCACCAAAACAAGCAATTTATTTATCTATTTTTCAGTTTTGAAGATAATATTGATGCTACTATCCGTTAGAATTAATTCCATTGTATTGTTTCTGATGTGATCAGTTTTGAAGTGATATGCTCAAAATCCTTATGATTCACCAATCAAATCACATCTTTAAAAAATTCGTTAAGTTAAAAACATCGTTAGGAACACATAAATAGTAAAAAGGAATCTCAGCAGCACAAAATGCAAGGCTTTATCTGATAGGCTACTAAAAATAAGTGGCCGGGAATTCTAAAGTTCACCAGAACATGCATTTTCATTGGTGTTCGTCATATTACCGTTATGTCCGAGAACTCAAGTTTAATTAGATGGAATTTCGCATCGGGTAATATCCGTTATGGCCCATTAGATATGACCTCGGGTATATATGGCTTCAGGTATTATTCGTTATAATCCAGTAGATATGACCTCAGGTCGTATCCGTTGGGGCCCAGAAGATACATATTACTTTTATAAAGTTTGGTTTTGAAAGGTATCATTAATTATAGCACGAATATCTATGACAATAAAAAGTGAAACAATAATAACTTGAACGCCTAAAGAAGAATCATTCATGCCGACGCCTTTATATTATTATTATTATTATTATTATTATTATTATTATTATTATTATTATTATTATTATTATTATTATTATTATTATTATTTGCTTACTATCTACTTGCTTACTTACTTACTTACTTACCACAACGCCGTTGGACTCTTCATATAATCCCGTCTTTAAACTCCACCCAAACCTTCCGTATTACAAGTTCTTGTATGCAGTATGGGCAATATTCATATATCGTATAGATTACAAAGATATACTTATTGTCTATATTGTATGAGAATAACGATATTTGTACGGAATAACGTCTATAGTGAGACGAAGTAGAACGGAATGATCGGAATGACATCGGACAATCAAATTAAAATAGGAAGATTGAGAGAGGTATGTTTACTTCTAAGTTTCGATGACATCAGTTGCATTTACATGTTTGAAACAGTTGTAAGCTTAAATGTTAAGCTGACGAGTCTACCGAGCACCAACAGAAGCGCACAGAAAATACGAATCATGATTGAAGAATTTTAAAAAAAATCATATGCAAAATTATTAAACAAAAACAATTTAATAAATAATGATATGCAAAATTATTAAACAAAAACAAAGCTTGTACTTTGTGATGTTTATTATGCTATGGTTTACGAACAGGTGACTGAATAAAGTATTTGAAAGTTTAAACCTAGTGAACTCTAACCTACCTAATTCTGCAATATGGATTCTCCCATTTACCTTGACATCACCATGAGCATTGTTTACAGTGTTGACTATACACCTTGCAAAAATCCCCAATGTAATGTTATTTTTAAAAGTTAGAAACCTGTTTAGCAAGCAGCTTTGACAAAAACTATTCATTGTGTCCTAGTTGCGTATCAACAAACCAGAAAACAAGCCACTGAATAACAACACATCGCATGCAATGAAGCGTGACTTAAAGGCTTGAAGGCAAAAATGAAAACTAAATCACAGAAGTCGTTCTGGTTAACAAAAAAGGATATTTAGTATTAAAAGGTATATAAAATTGATAAAAGAGAATAAAATAAACTCACGTGCTAAAAATGTTTTAAAATGCGGCAAAAATAAAACATTTAAAAAAATCCCAAAATCATTCAAATACGAACTGGCATAGTTTTTGCACCCACAACACCCCCTTCGCCTGCTGATACTCACCGATTTTTTTTTTTTGATTTTTTAAAAAAGATCAATAATGGCATAAAATATACAAGGTTTATTTATTACTCATCTGATAAGTCAATATTTAACATTCGACTTTGCTTTGTAAGATAGTTAGGTCCACAATATAAAAGACATTTTTTTTTTGAAACCGACTATTTCATATCTGTACTTGTGTGAGGCGGGCTGAATAAGAAAAAAAAATGAATAAAATATCAAATGGACTGACTTATATGCATATAAATCAATATACATAAACCAATTATACATAAACCAATTATACAGTAGTCTCGTTAAACCAGTCACTGAAAAAAATGTTTCATTGATCACTATTACTGATAGATGGCGCTTCAGTCAACCTTTATATAAGCGAAAGTAGAAAAGACATTTCTCGCTAAAAACTTATCTAAACATACAGTTTATAATTTTACAATTCAAATTTATATCGTAAGTTCAATACGAGATCACTAAATATTATTTTGTAAACAAACACCGAAGTAGGAGGCATGTTTTAATAAGCAGACAAAGCGTGACTTGACATCGTCATGATAATGAAGCATCGTATAACTTCATCTGATCCACCAATCAAATCCATTTTCCAAATATTGATTCCGTAACATTGACTTCGCTGAATCCACACGAACTGGCGTTAATAGTCACTTTAAATAGGTGTGCGACTGTGTGTGTGATTTAGATTTCTAAAGTAGCTTTAAAAATATTTCAGTCATATCGCTACAATGTCTGCAGTGTGACAGTTTATAGTGATGTCCAGCAGACATGTGGCATGATGCCCACCCAGTAACATTATCCTGACACCAGGCCTACCAGTCCTAACACTAACCTCTTAATGCTGAGCGCCAAGCGAGGCAGCTGTTAGTATCATTTTTAAAACTATGGTGTGACTCGCCCGGGGTTCGAACCTAGTACCTCCTGCATCCGAGGCGGACACTCTAACCACTAGGCCACCGGAGCGGTTGCTTTAAATAGGAGCTAGAGAATTAAGAGATAGTGTATAGAATCCTAACTGCGCCATATCCATAGGTGGAATATTTATATTTTCATTTTTAATAATTAGCACATATTTCATCAGTGTAATACAGCGACGCAGAGACCAAATTTACTGTGATTACAACCTGGACACGGTAATTTACTATTTCCTACTGTTCATGGTCACGTGATCCAGATATGGCTGCCTACATACTTCTAGACAGAAACAGATGACAGTTAATTGTTCCGGTTCAGTACCCGCGAATGTAGTCCTACACTATTTTTAGAGCATTTTTTTTCCCTGTTTCCTTTTTGGTGGTGATGCAAGAGTTAGATTTAGGCATTCTTGGCATGAATTTAAAAGCAATTGTTTATTCTTTTGAATTTGAGCTTATGGTGTGGTTGTCTTTGTGTTTTTCGGCGATAGTGTACAGGGAGTAATAAGGTCTTGGTGATGATTCAGAAGTGAAATCCGTGTTCTATTGTACGCTGGTCTTTTTATAGCCCAGCCTCTCAACAACCCCCCCCAACAACAACAACAACAAAAAAAAAAAGGCCAGTGAACCTATGACAAGAACTTCACCGTGAAATAATCTTTGAAAGTACGATTTTTATTGATTGTCATACAGTGGAAAGTTCAGTACCGAAAAACAAATGTAGAGAATATATAGTAAAATTAATTGTGTATTGGGTCCTGTCAGTGCAGTGTTTGACTAAAGTTTAAATAGGTATAAAATATTTATCATTAATGATAGACACGTGAAATTTTAATGTTATGTATAATGATTTTGAAAAAATAAGAATTAAATTAAAAATAATAAATTTTAATTAAAAACTTTACCTACACTTTTTAAAAATTAAATTTTTCTTTAAAGATGCACATATGTAAAATTTATTGGGACTGATATTAAATTATATTAGCATGTATGTATTCCTACACCATATGCAAGCTGTAATGATGGATATTAGACAAATTTTGTCAGAGAAAATATCTTTGTAATTCAAAATGAGACCTTCATTTAAAATGTGCGAAGAAAAAATTCTTTATTGTATTGGTCATCCAAACTATTGTTTAGGAGTCCAAGCAGTTGATTTCTGTGTTTATGATTGGGTTACTTCCTGATTAACAAATATCTGCTTGTTTAGTTTTCAGTTATTGTTTATAAACATAGTTTTGGGGTATTTCGTGAGAGGACAGATATAACAACAATTTTATACTAGAATCTACTCAAGTTATCTTCTTAATCATTTTAAACTGTCAGAGAATGAAATACAGGTTAAAGGGATAAAATATACTTTCCCAAGAATATTTATTATTGGCTGAAAGAAAACAGCAAAATAATGTAAGTTGAACACAAAATACATTCCATTTTATTGTTTAGTTTGGTTACGATATTGATTGTTTAAGTTTGGCATGGTGGCCTATGTGATATTATAGGAATTCTATGATCCATTGTGCTTTATGCATTATTAATTGCTAATAATATTTATTAACTGACACTCTAAAGATTACATAAGAAATATTCAAACTGATTATTTGAATTTAACTTTGTACAACTGATCTTTACTTATCCCACATGAATAAGTATCCATATATTTTAGAATGTTTGGGATCAAAAGTTTACATTCAGTACATCATATAGGATGACACTGTACCTATATTGAATTTGCAAGGTACATTTCTGGCTTTGTGCACTTAAAATATCCCAAAATGGTATTTTCATCATGAATATGCCTCTTTATGGTAACACATTTCAATTTAGTACTTTGACAGAGTGCGGTATTGTTGCATCAGCTGATATCTGATTCTATTGAATCATTGAACTTAACAATTGGTGACCAACACTCTTAAAAATACATTACAATGTTCAAATAGATCATTTGAATTACGTTTGCACATTTGATCTTAACAAATGCACTGTATATGTCCCACCTATGAAAATTTCCATGGTTGCTTCCTAGTTTTGGGGATCAGAATTTCACATTTAGTTGATGATATATGACCTGTTTGTATTTGTAGCTGATCTGTGTGGCCACATTTGTCTTTATTCACTTGCAATATCCAAAATTTTTATTTCCCTCATGAAAATGATTGCCTATGGTAATATATTTGAATTTAGTACATTGTCACTTGACTTTCCTGTATACCGCTATGTACTAATGTTTGCACCAATGATCAAACCTCGCCGTGCCAACATTGTCTTAAACTTTATGATATATAATCTACCCGATTTAACAGGATTACAACAGCATCAAGGCCATACTAAACGCCTTGGAGTATAATTAGTACAGCTAAGAGGTCATCAGAAATTTCAGAATGGTGGCATTCCTGATGGATCTTCAATGCGGTTTTTTTTCCAAGTTTCCATGTTATCTTTGCCTTTGGGATAGGATGAACATCATGGCGCACTACCACATGCAGGACTGGCAACAGCGGATTGATTTCTCTGTGTGGAGAGGCAACGTTAAGCGAGAGCCGCTGGTGGACCCCTGGAAGTTGATGATGCCACCACTGTACGTCAAATTGAGCCTTAAGAAACAATTTGTCAGAACTCTAGATAAGGAGTCGGCAGCCTTCAAGCACTTTCAAGACTTCTTCCCTATTCTGTCTGAGGCATGTTCGTCGGACCATAGATAAAGAAGATCCTGGAATGAATTCCCCAAGAAGCTCGCTAATAAGGAGAAAGCGGCTTGGAATAGCCTTGTCGCGGTGGTTTGGGGATTACTGGGCAATCACAAGGCCTAAAACTAGGTGGAGCTGTTTGAGACTGGTGATGATTGGAACAGCCTTGTCGCAGTAGTTTGGGGATTACTGGTCAATCACAAGGCCTAAAACTATGTGGAGCTGGTTGATACTCTGGTGAAGATTGGAACAGCATTGTCGCAGTGGTTTGGGGATTACTGGGCAATCACAAGGCCTAAAACTAGGTGGAGCTGGTTGAGACTCTGATGAAGATTGGAACAGCATTGTCGCAGTGGTTTGGGGATTACGGGGCAATCACAAGGCCTAAAACTAGGTGGAGCTGGTTGAAACTCTGGTGAAGATTGGAACAGCCTTGTCACGGTAGTTTGGGGATTACTGGGCAATTACAAGGCATAAAACTATGTGGAGCTAGTCTGGTGAAGAACTATAACATAATGGGCTGCAGGATGTCCCTCATAGTCCATATCCTTGATGCTCATCTTGATAAATTCAAGGACAACAAGGGAGCGAACTCGAAGGAGCAAGGTGAGCGCTTCCACCAGGATATACAGAACTTTGAACGTCGCTATCAATGACAATATAACGTGAACATGATAGGAGATTACATGGGGGGGGGCGGCTGATTCGTGAAAGATATTTACAGTATAATCATAAATCTCGAAAGCTACTCACATCCAAATCATTTATAGTCGTTTTGTATTGCTTTAATCTAAACACATGTTAATTTTGATTGATGAGTTGTTTTTTTCTGACTTTGTGTGAACGAAAAGACACAAATTCAAAATAGCAGTGTCCTGGCCACAGCAGCAAAATTTGTGGAAAATAATAGCCATTTTCTATACTTTTTAGGCATAAACAATTACGAAATAACACTTACTACCCAGGAACAAAACTTGTGTTACAAAGCGTATTTAATAAATTCTTATTAAAAACAAACTATACTTATTTTTAAAGATCAGGTCCTCTGAAATTCACCTACAGGATACAAAATTATAAAATCCTACAGCTCTACAGCAAGCAACAGAGCAAAGAGGATTCACAAATAAAATCATACAGTTTCTTCTCTTTTCTAAATAGGTATAAAAATATATTCACCCGTTTATAACGTTCATCACAGGAAAACAATCAAGGCCTTCATCCACCGTCCCATAACGAACCGGCATATCAAACAGAGGTAGATCCAGATGCGGTACCACGCCCCCACCCCTCTCTAAAAAATAACTGGAGAAACAACCGAACATTTCCCAACGGAAGTTTTCCAAGTTTTCTTTAGCTACACCGTCAAAGCAAGCACTGAAAAGGGTAAAATGCACGAGCTTCATGAGTTCCGCACTCTGGTCTTGTACAATAGATTCCGTCCCACAGATCCCTTGCCTATTTATTTACCACAAACGAAAACGATCCCATTTCTCTCTCTCTCTCTCTCTCTCTCTCTCTCTCTCTCTCTCTCTCTCTCTCTCTCTCTCTCTCTCTCTCTCTCTCTCTCTCTCTCTCACACACACACAGACACAGACACAGACACACACACATGCATACACATACACACACGATGATAAACAAAATTTGTTGATCTACCCCTGTAAAAGTCTGTTCTCTACGTGACGGCTGATAAGGGTCTATGTTTTATGGAGCGACAGATCATCATCTACGCTCATCGTAAAAATAATGTATGCAAAGAACAAACAGTATATACCCGTGTCTGCCAGCTCATTATGGGACGGTATATTCAGTTGGACACTATTTACAGGCAGTCTCTTGTCACCCAACTTTGGGACGGCATATTTTTGTCTACTCTGTTTGCACGTGGAAACTGCTAAGCCTATTATGGGACTGCATATTTAGTTCTATATTGTTTGAAAGTGGGATCGGTCTACCCATTAGTTTACAGTATATCTATTTCTATTTTGTTTGCTAATGGGATCTGTCAACCCGTTATTTTACAGCATATTTATTTATTCATTGGTTTGCAAACGACATATGCCAATCCATTATCGAACGGCATATTCGCTTCTACGCTGTTTGCAAACGACATATGCCAATCCATTATCGGACGGCATATTCACTTCTACGCTGTTTGTAAACGGCATTTGCCAATCCATTATCGGACGGCATATTTGCTTCTACGCTGTTTGCAGACGACATATGCCAATCCATTATCGGACGGCATATTCGCTTCTACTCTATTTGCAAAAGGGTACTTACTTTAAGATCTGAATACACATGGTTTTAAAATCCATAAGCTACTGACGATTTGATATATCCATAGGCGAATTGCATTATC